CTTCGATCGAAGCAAGTTTAAGCACTTTAAAACCGTGCCACTGCCAACCTACTCCAACGTTAAGCCAGACTTACTACTGGGACTTGACAACTCGTTCCTCGGTGTCGCGCGTAATATCGTGGACGACGGACACAACCAACCAATTGCCGCTGAAACCAATTTGGGATAGGTTGCATATGGACCACTGCAGGGTTCACAGGCCACCACGTCTTGAGTGATGCTACACGTATGAAGCAGCTACACCAGTTGGTGCAAGATTATATCGCAAGTGATACGTTAGTAGTGAGATCACCAGTCAACGCCACCCTGGAATCCGACGACGACAGCCGAGCCAAAAGAATCTTAGCAGAAACCACAAAGTACGATGGATTCCGTTACGAAGTATGTCTTTTGTGGCGGAAAGACGACGTCAAGCTACCAGATAGTTACGACATGGCACAAAAGCGTCTGTTCAACATCGAGTCGCGCTTGAGAAGAGACATGCAATTCGCCAAAAGCTACAGAAGAGAAATCGAGAAGTATATTAGCAAAGGTTACGCGAGGCATCAAACGTGTCACTCAACAGCGTACTACTCAAAGGGCCAGAGAAGGTTCAGTCGCTTATCTCTATACTTTTCAAATTTTTCCAAGGCGTCGTTGCGGTTGCGGGCGACATTGAGGAAATAAAAAAATGGATCAGACTCGAAGACCAAGACTCACAACGTTTTCTGTGGAGAGATGGCGACACCAGCCAACTAATACGAGTTTATATTAAGACGTCAATAATATTCGGCGCTGCCTGTTCTCCGTGTTGCGCAGAATATGTAAAAAATACAAATGCCAGCAATTTCATTTCCCAGCGACCAAAGTGTGTCGATGCCGTTATCAACAAAACATACGTTGATGGCCTTGTGATCAGTTTCCAAGACATCAAAGAGGCCGAAAAAACTATAAGGCAATTGGAACTAATGCCGAAGCTGGTTTCCTGCTTCGAAAGTTTGTGTCGAACCACAAATCTTTGCAAGCGAGACTAAATAGTGAGAACGATATGCAGTTAACAGTTGCCAATATGGAGAAAAGAGCGGCCGCCGACAAGGTACTTGGCATGTATTGGAACACTTCTTCCGATGCCTTCGAGTTTCACTTCAAATTTCTTAAAATACCTGCAGACATTCTGCGTTGCGAACGGCCTCCAACGAAGAGAAAGTTACTAGGTATCGTAACGTCAATCTACGATCCTTTCGGCTTTTTGGCCAACATCACAATTGATGCGAAATTGTTGATTCAGTCGACGTGGAAACAGAACATTACGTGGGATGAACAACTGCCGCATCCGCTAGCCAAGCAATGGAAGGCTTGGTGGACTAAATTTCAATATGTGAACTCATTCGCTGTACCTCGTTTTATTCGAGTATGTTACCAAGTGCCGATAACGCCCAACTGCACATCTTTGTCGACGCTAGTACAGACGCATACGCCGCCATCGCCTATTTACGAGTCAGTCAGGGGGACGTGGTAGAAATAGTGTGAAGAAGAAGTGTGACAGTACAACCTTTTGGAGCGATTCGCAGACCGTAATCCATCTGGATACTTTCCCACTCCCGAGCGTATAAGCCATTCGTGGCACATAGGATTGTGGAAATCCTGTCAACAACGACGGCGGAACAGTGGCGCTGGATACCCACAGCGTTAAATGTGGCAGATGATGCCACACGTGCCGTACCGATACCTGAGCCGTCAATAAACACCCGTTGGCTACGTGGACCAGAGTTTCTGTATCAGCAAGAGGGACAATGGTCGCGAGAAACTATGCTGTCATCCATCGAATGTGCCAACGAGGAGCTAACTAGTCGAAAGCTTCTTCTCTGTACCGCAGGTGAGCCGTTAATCAATTTTACTAAATTTTCTTCCTTTCTGACGCTAGTTAGAGTCCTGGCCTGGGTATTGCGTTTTGCCAGGAATGCCAGGAGGGAAGTACGCAAAGAAGAACTGCAAGCCGATGAACTGACTGCCGCTGAAAAGTAAATATGCCGCATAGTACAACAACAAGCCTATCAAAACGAGATCGATCTGCTAAGGAAGAAGATTGCCCTGCCAAAGAATAGCTACCTACATCCGCTAGTGCCTTACTTAGACGAAGAAGGTCTACTCCGAGTCTACGGAAGATTAGACGCAGCATACTGTCTACCACTTTCTGCACGCCGCCCGATTATTTTGCCGACAGACAATTATGTCACAAAATTAATTGTAACTGAACACCACCGAAAACGACACCAACGAAATTCGACAACGATATTGGATCCCTGCCATTCGCAGAGTTGTGAAGTATGTCAAGAAACACTGCCCGACTTGTTATACGACAGAGCAAAACCAGCAGCACCATTGATAGGCCTGCTACCCAGTGCTGTGTAAGTGTGAAATCATTTTCAATTTTAAATCAACAATTTTTTCTATCCAGTTTTCATTACTTATTCTTCGCTTAGGATTGAGGTTTAAAATTTTTGAGTTTTCCATTCTCTCAAAGCAGTTATGAATTCACACATCAACATATTC